TGCTATGAAATAAAAGCATGGAAATTATGCTGAAGTGCAATAAAAGCTTTGAGAACTGGTGTACAGGAGAATTGTGAAACTTTATCCACGCCTAAAGATGATTTACTTCCCCCTCATGGCATACAATTATTTCTCACGCTGCCTTATCTTTCTGATTCGGTGTTTCTTCTTATGCTTCCTATGTCAGGATGTGAATTTCTTCTGCTTTATGCATCTCTGTCTTCCTTGTCCTGGCAACGTAGTTTCTGGAATAAAATTTGATCAATAAATGTTTGCTTAAACTGAATTCTGTCAATATATAACTTGCATCATCAAATGGTAACAATTCAGCTATGTCTCTGATCAAGGAAAAATAAATGTGCAGCATTATCTTCTTATTTTATGTGCTGTTACTATCTCTTTAGGAGGTAAAGTGGAGTTACAGAGACAAATAGTTGAATTACTTGATCTTTTCTATCATCTTAAAAGATCCCCTTGAAATGATGGCAGACGTCTGAAGCAAGGCCTGGGGCGCATGTGACATAAGCAGTTTGTAATTTGTTACTAACCCAAAGCTCCCTGGCTTGTCTGTCAGTTTGTTGAACTGTGGGGGCTTACGTATTGCTGTGATGCTGAAAGCTATGTCACAGGTGTTTTACAGACTTGCAGGGTCATTCAAGGTGAACAGGCTTTAGTGTAGCTTCCACATTAAGAACAGACCTTGAAGAAGGAATAACCTGGGCACTTCAGAGCAAGTAGTCACCACAAGAAAATCAATGGATAGCATCAAAACTAAAATCTGAAAATTGTCAGCTACTGAAACTCTAAGGAATAGAAGCAAAGCATCGTCAGAGATGGTGCCAGAAAATGAGTTCCTCAGGTTGAAAAACCAAACTGCCATCAAGCCACCTTCGACCTAGTGACACAGTAGGACAGGGTAGATCTTCCCCAGCACGTTTCCAAGACTAGAACTGTTTACAGGAGTAGAAAGCCCATCTTTCTGCCCTCAGGTCAGAAGGCACTCAACATATGGTTGCGGAAGAACTGCCTTCTCAGAGTCGTCAGGCATACTCATGCTGACCCTAATGCTGTGCATGGCCTCAAGCCTGCTGATGCGGCATGACTCAAAATGAGAACAAGGAGCTGCAAACGTCAACAGATCATTAGAACGTGGACGGTATAAAGTATGATTTGGAAAACTGCAAGACATCAACAATGAAATAGAATACATAAAGATAGATATTTTAGGTGTTAGTGAGCTGACATGGAACTGTATTTATCACTTTTAACAAGAAAATCATCTGGCTTACAATGCCCGGAAGGCCACAACCAAGAGGGAGCACTTTCATTCATAAAGGACCCTTAGATCTATCTTGAAGTACAACGCTGTGTGTGAGAGGATGATGTTTGTCTACAGCCAAGGAAATACAATCACTGCAACTATTTCGGCACTAGCCACCAAAGCTAATGATGTGCAAATTAATGAGTCTATCAATGTCTTCAGTCTCAAATGAATCAACATGTAATCAAGACGCAAGGAAAATTATTGACAGTATAATGCAAAAGTTGGAAACCAAAAGAAGGGAATAGTACAAGGAAAATATGATCTTGACCAAAGAAAGAAAACCAGAGGATACAGGATAGAATTTTGCAAGACCAATGACTTCGTTGTAATTATCTTTTTTCAAAAACACAATGAGCAACTATACAGGTGGACTTCTGAAGATAAAATGCATAGAAATCAAATGGAGTATATCTGTGGGAAGATATGATGGGCAAGGCCACTACTAGCAGCTAAAATCAACCAGGCGCCACCTGTAGAAGACAGAATCACTGGCAAATATGTAAATTAAGGTTGAAGTTAAAGAAAATTAAAATAAGCCTAGGAGAGCCAAAATAAGACCTGCGCATATCCCACCTCAATTTCAAGAACATCTCAAGAGCAGATTGATACATTGAACTCTAATGACAGAAAACTTGTGACCTGTGAAAGAACATCAAGAACATCATTTACAAGAAAGCAAAATATCACTAAAAAGAAAAGATCAAGGTGGCTGTAGCAGAGATCTTGAAATTTGCTTTTAATCATAAAGTAGCTAAGGCAAATAGAAGAAATGAAGTCAAAGTGCTGATCAGAAATTTTCAAAAGGCAACTTGAGTAGACAAAATAATATTATGATGAAGTATGTGAAGATCTATTGTTAGAAAACCAAGAAACGAAGAACATGCTCAGCATATCCTAAGGAACTCAGACAAATTTAAGCCCCCAGTGGCAATACTGAAAGATTCTATGGGGAAAATATTGAATGAAACAAGAATTATACAAAAAAGATCGTAAGAATACACACAGTACCAAAAAGATTTAGTCAACATGCCACCATTTCAAGAGGTAGCATATGATCAAGAACCAATGGTAATGAAAGAAGAAATCCAAGCTACCCTGAAAGCATTAGTCAAAAAAGGGCTCCAGGAATTGACAGAATAGCAAATGCAATGTTTCAACAAGCAAATGACGCACTGGAAATACTCCCTCGTCTCTACCAAGAAATTTGGAAGACAGCTACTTAGCCAACTGACTTGAAGAAATCCCAATGTGTCCCCATTCCAAAGAAAGGTGATCCAACAAAATGCTCAAATTGGGAACAACATCACTGATATAACATGCAAGTCAAATTTTGTTGAATATCATATGATTGTGCGGTACATTGACAGGCAACTACCGGAAGTTTAGTCCAGTTTCAGAAGAGGATATGGTACAAGGGATATCATTGCTAATGATAGATGAATCTTGACTGGAAGTAGAGAATACCAGAAAGATGTTTATTTGTTTTTCAGTGCTTATGCAAAGACATTTGACTGGGGATCATAATAAACTATGGATAGCCTTGAGAAGAATGGGAATTCCAGAGCACTTCATTTTGCTCAGGAAGAATTTGTATCTGGATCAAGAGGCAATTGTGTGAAGACACAAAGGGAATACTACATGGCGAAAAGTCAGAAAGGGTGTGTATCAGGGTTGCTGTCATTCAATCTGTATGCAGAGCAAATACTCAGAGTAGCTGGATTGTAAGAAAAAGAACTTGGCATCAGGTTTGGAGGAAGACTTATTAACAACTTGCAATATGCAGAAGATATAACCTTGCTGGCTGAAAGTGAGGAGGATTTGGAGCATACAGGTGAAGATCAAGGATACAGCTTTATGTATGGATTGCAACTAAATGTAAAGAAGACCCAAATCCTCACAACTGTACCAACCGGTAAAAATATGATAAATGGAAAAGAGATTGAAGTTGCCAAGGATTTCATCTTGCTTGGATCCACAATCAACGCTCATGGAAACAGCAGCCAAGAGGTGAAACGATGGACTGCATTGAGAAGCAAGGCTGCTACTTTGAGGACAAAGGTGCTCCTGACTCATGCTGTGGTGTTTTTCTATTGCCCCAGATGCATGGGAAAGTTGGACATTGAATAAGGACGACTGAAAAAATGATGCAATGGAAATACAGGTCATTCTGAGTTGGTCTCATCTGATGAGTTGGTCTCATCTGATGGCAGTGTGTTTGGCTTGGTTGGTGAAGAATACTGAAAGGACTAGGGACGGCTGCAAGATCAGTTTTGTCCTGGAAGAAGTACAGCCAGAGTGCTCCTTGGAGGAAAAGATGTTGGGACTTTGTCCCCGGTACTTTGGCCGTATTGCCATGAGACACCGGTTTCTGGAGAAGGACATCATATTTGATAACGTGGGAAGACAGTGAAGAAAAAGGCCCTTGATGAGGTGGACTGACAGTCGGTGAAAACGGGGCTCAAGCATGAGACTCCTTGTGAGGTGGCACGGGACCAGGCACTGTTTTGTTCGGCTGTACCCCGGGCTCTGGGAAGCAGAACAGACTGGAAGTCACCCAGGAACAAGCACTCAAACCAATTGCTGGTTCAGAGCCACATCGTTGCTGGTTCTGTGCCAAATAAAGAGCTGTTGAACTGCTGCTCTCCAGAATGTGGCCCAGGTAACCCTGAGGACCCGTCCTCTCCAACAGCACACGTGGCGGTCAGGAGCCTGAGACCCACTAGATGGCCGCTAATGACCGGATAACACTTCCCTTACTAAATCTAATCTAGTACGATTGTTGCACACAATTGCAGTTTTTCAATTGAGTCTGTGTACCTAACAAGTTTGCCAAATATGTTTACAGAATATTATTCTCACTGATCCTGATGGATACCCATCCTACTGAGAGTCTAACCAGCTGTTAGTAGAGATAGAGCCAATCAACGATATATTTCTGAGAGAAGCAAATCATCAGTACATGAAGGTTTTAATTAAACAATTAAATAGAAGAAAAAAAGAGTTTACAGTATTGAAATCCGTGGATGTTGCAGACAGCTGTACTTATGCTGATCACAGTAAATGCTGGGTTAGAGTTTTACCCAGTTGTTTGACATCATATAAATTAGAAATACAGACTTCAAAAGAAATTATGTATTTATTGTAGATATATTTTATTAGGTATTCTAATGCTGCTTCTTATAGTTGGAAAATATATGCAACGAATGCAATGGGGAGAGAGGAATTTTAAGCATATTTTTGTATTTTAATCCAAAAAGGGTTGTCCTGAGATAATTGCAGTAGTATGTGTAGCCAAAGTAGCAATGATCAAATATTCCAAAGATTGACTTGTTCCTCAGAGTCTCAATATCCTCAGAAGAACATATGGGTCAATTAATTGTATTATTGTGTTTTGTAAGGAATATAATATAATAGCAGATGTAAAAGTCCTTGGAAGATCAAATACAGTATATAAACATATAGCATCATATTAAATACCTTGTAAAATATTAGCTGTAATATACTAAAATTATTTTACCATATAAATCTTAAATACAATATAAATTAAAGGAATTTAAGCACTAAAAAAAAATCCATGTTATTGAAATTCAAGAATAGACCATTATAGATATTTATGTATTTTCAAACCGTCAAAGATCACAAGCCAATTTTAAAAGGAAGAATCACTTTGTGAAAATTGGAAATAAAAACTAAAACATTTTATTTACAAGGTGGCTAGATAAGTTTTCCACTCAGTGTGGTAGCTAATTTAATCCTTTCCAATTGAAACCAAGTTTTGTTGTTATATGAACAAACATATTAAGACAATAAAAAATTTCAGCCTACAGATTGAACACTTTGAAACAAATGGTGATTTCATGCATATTATGTTTGGAAAAGCAAAACAAACAAACAAAAAACAGAAGAAGATAAAACGTCTCTGTAGAAAACAGATTTTTATACCAAGAAATATCATTGGTCATTTTATTATTTTGAAAATATTACTTATTTATATAACTAAAAAACTTTAAATTCTGGTGTAATTATCAACAGTTGAAAGGATAAATTATTGGAAAAATGCATAAAGAATGCCATCTCAGTGTCATTATACCACCTTTCTGTAGGTTAAGTTTATCTGAGGTATTGAACATTGCACATATAGTACGCATAGGGTTTGAAAGTATAGCTGAAACCTGTTGTTCACAGCCACTAAAATAATGAAAATGAGTTAGGGTTATTAACAATGGGGAGGAAAGAGAGGTTTAAAGTTCCTTCTAACTCAAAACTAGAAATGGTGAATTTAATTAAAAAAAAAAACCCCACAAACACAAAGGTGATTTTTTTTTTTTTAGTAAACCAGCCAGAATAAGACACCCCCTTTTAAGTTTTCATCTTCTCTGTTGCATGGATCCAAGGGTGACATAGAACATATTTGGAACCTAGATGGCAATCTAATATTTCTTATTGTTGTAGTTCAGAAGTTATAGTATAAAGAGTTTATAAAATGATATATAGTAAAGGAAACATCACTTTTGATAATGAAGTGATTTTTAAATTTCATAGTACAAATTGTCATGCCTTGTTGACACATCTAAGAATATTTGATTTCATGTGGTTAGAAAAAATGAAATACAGAAAATTTCAATTCTGAGTAACAGGTAGAATGGATAAGATTCAATTTTAGGTAATACATGTGATTTGGACTAACGAATTCCTTCTCTTTTCTGCAAATTTAAATAAATTGGAGATGTCAAAATTATTGTTTCCAGTATCCAGTAATTATTAATTTGAGTATATTTGTTTCATTGATTCATAAAAGTACAGAAGTGCAAGGAGACAGGCAATTATAGACTTATGACATGTACAGTAGTTATGTATTGATATTTTATAATCCAATATTTCAAATATACCCATTTTAGAACATTTAAGGAACATTTAGAGAGTTGGCCTACTGGGTGAGAATACCATTTTGGAAATATTTGTGCTACTTATAACACAGCCATGACAAGGCCTACTCAAAACCCCGCGGTAGAACACACTTGTCAACCCAAGAGAAGCTTACACAACAACACAAAGGAAGTCACTTCTCGTGTCAACACCAGTGGGCACAGCTAGCGTAAAGGTCAAGACCACCACTGGGCTCCCTTCAGGTGCAGCGGCTTGATGGAGAGCCGAGGGAACACCGGCACAAGGGCCGAGACAGAGGAGCAGTTTTCACGCTCCGGGCCCTGGAACGTGAGAGGAGAAAACAAACATGCTGGAAAATAAACACTTTCTGAGCATTGCAAATATAACTTCACAGCATTCTTTTACACGACAGACATTTGGACCCAAATGATGACAGATTTCATATCTCAGATTCAAGGCTGCACCTATTTAGGAGAAGCCGAAGAGTAGTTAGTTTATACATAAAATTTGTTGGAACTTATCTCCATGTAGTAGCGTATACCTATTGTCCAGGAAGTAGACAAAACCCTTAATAATTGAGAAATTAATGAGAACATTTTCAGGAAAGATGGTGCTGAGATAAATGACTTTAAACCTTTTCAAAGTCTGCATATCTTTATAAAAAAGGATAAATATTCTTTGATCAGAAGTAATTCTTTTGCACATGTGAAGTGTACAACATACTATATACATTGGGGGGGTTCCCTATGTACATATACATACGCATACATTATTTGTATGCCTTTTTTAATGTATACACAGCTTTAACTCAAAGAAAATGAGTTATCATTGTCTGACAATCCAAGTGCTGAGATCCGTGACACTGACACCCCAAAATGTTATTTGCATTTATAATTAAGAATACAACTCCCTTTATACTTCCCACTTTAAACTTCCTTCCCTGCAACACTGATTGTCATAGATAATCTTTGTGCTTTTGCATAATGCCCATTCTAGATGTAACATATATTCACATACAACATTGGACATGTTAACTAATCATGCTAGAACACAGGCAGGACCTTACAACCATGCACAAACTATTCTGAATATGTTTTCCAAACTGACGGTGACATTAACATGCATCATTATTTGTATTTGGTCCTGTACAGCCAGGAATGTACAGCTGAAGGAATCATGGCTAGTCTCACTTGCAAAAAAGTCTTTAGAGGAGAATGCCCAATAGGAAAAAATATATAGAATGAAAGAAACAAAAATATTCCCCCAAACAAAAACAAAACAGAATGACAGTAACAACAAAAATGTCCTCCCACACATTAACACTTTGAAACTCTGGCCATTTTTCCCAGGGCACGAAGTCCTCGTTTCACATCATGTAGGTCTTCTGGTAACGTCCCAGTTGAGTGGTGTAAGAGACACATCTCAGTGTCGCAGGGCTTTTCCCAGCCACTGGAAAAGCTCGTCTTGGTACAGCGTTTTCCAGCGCACATTGGTTTCAACAGTTTCCACGGCTCGTGCGAAAGAAGCAGCGGCTTCCCCGTCGTAGTTCTTCATGAAATTCTTCAGCTGGAAATAGAGTTGTTTCAAAGGTAAGCTTGCATGTTTACTTTTAGAACGTTTGTCCAACATATGTGAACAAGAAGCTATTGGGGACACAGTGCCACAATCACTGCAGGTGATGCATGCAATATGTGTGAGCTAACTGGGTAGTAAAGGCAGTATGAAAGCCCAACCCAACCCACTGCCTATCAAGTTGATTCTGACTCACAGTAACCCTGTAGGCCAGGGTCGAAATGCCTCTCTCAGGAGCAGAAATCCTCATCTTTGTGGTATGAGAACAGATGTCAATTAGATGTGATATAATTGCTTCCGGAACGGGGGGAAAAAATAAATCTAAGAAATTAAACAGCTCCAAATCCGACTTTTTGTTTTGTGAATGGATATTAAAAGGGGCACAGTTAACTTATCTTTTCAGAATCTGCTGATGAAATGTGGCAAAAGGTTAGTTCTAATTAGAAAGAATACAAAGGTATAAAAGTCTTACAAACTGAATATAAAAATTAAAGTTACTTTTTGGGTAGATAGCAGTCTCAGGGCTTGGCACTGTCCTGGATGGCAAGGCAAGCGCAGGATATTGGGTGGTGGGGAAATAAGACCGTGTCTGAATGTCTGACGACAGTGCCCTCACCTCAGTTACTGGATTTAGAAAGACAGGAGGAGGCTCATGGTCTCCTTCAGCTAGAGGATGCATTTAATAAAAACACAGTATTGTTAACTGTCTTGTCATAATTTTTATTGATATGATTTTCTATGGAGAATTAACATACTGTGGGATCAGGGATTTAGCTTCCAGATTAAATACTAGCAGTTTTTCTTTCTGTTCCATTTGTTTTAAGAAACTGGCAACCAACCAACAATTGAAATGCTAATAGACAAATGTGAAAAATCAACTGGTAACACAGAAACATTATGAGACGTAATTAGTGAGGGTGTGATTCATCTCATGGTGGGCGCCACATGGAGGATGTGCTAGGGTTTAAAGCAGGGAAATGCAATGCATCAAGATTGGCTCAGGGGACGGGAACAATGGGGAGGGGATTTCAGTGCAGCTAATTATACCTTTCTGAATTAATTTAGAAATTGGTACATGGATAGCTTAGTTTATGACAGAATAATTTTACTTCTATGGTATTGGTGCATTTTCTTAATTGCAAAATTTATTTTCCATTTGTCTACAAAAGCCCTGTAACCTGCAGGATTAGCAATGGGTAATCATATATCAGAAATACACCTGCTTTAAAAGCACAGACGGTATCCAGTTCATAAATGTAAAATATGCAATCTATATAGATCATAAGGAATGATGTCTCCTCTAAAGTTGATTTGATATCTGAGCAAATGTATATATATTAAAGAGAGGAGAAGAAGAGAAGGATTGGTATTCATTATCTCAGGCACTGTATCCAATATTTCAGGCACTGTGTCCCATGTGTATAGGTATAATATGTACACACATTGACATGTCCCCAGGGAAGTTTAATGGAAGTACTTATAATTTAGCTGATTAGCACAATTAATTTTAATTTTTATTTATATATTTACCCTCAGAATCTAGTCTGTCTATATCTTTAAAACAACAACCTATACATTTGATATCTTGAATATATATTTTCACTTATTACAGAAGTATACTTTTACAAAATGGCACTGTTTACATAATGCTTGCCAATTAGAAACACACACACACACACACACACACACACACACACACACAGCAAAACAAGAAACCTCCACTCCTTTAAAAAATTGCTCTGCATTATTACATTTTGGTTTAGGCATTCACGGAATAAGCCAGATAGTGATAAATTACCCCTTGGCAACTTTGACTTTGTGGAGTATCCTCTGGCTTCTTTAAGAGATAGCAAGCAGGTCTGAACACAGGAGGTAAAACTCTATGTTTTCCTCAAAGGCAAACTATGGGTTTGAATATGAATGCGGTATTGACCAAGAACAGTAGGTCAGATTATTCTGGAAGAGAACTTTGAACAGACAAACTGGCTGCTTTCTGGGATTCATTTCTTAAATCACTATTTAAGAGCACTAAACACTGCCCTTGTGAGCTCAGGGAGCCTGAGGTGACGCAGATGCATTTGAAGAGTAGCTTGTTCATTGGAACACATCTGGTCCACTTTCCATATTTGGCATAAATTGATTTTATTCCCTGTATTTCTCAATAGTTCTAATGGCGAACATGCGGTCTGAGCAGCCATCTAACTAGTCCTACAGGGTGATCTCAGTGCCCCCACCCCCCTACCCCAGGCCCCAGCTTCATTTTAGAGGGTGTAGGATCTAAGAAAGCCATGTGCCATTCCAGTTACTGGAGCCACGTCTTTCTGAGGAAATTGCCGGTTTTGGGTACTAAAAGGCAGTTTCAGGGATGATATCGTGGAACAATACAATCTTTTCTATTGAATGCTCCTAAAGCTAATATGGAGAAGCCTTGATGGCAAAATGGTTATGCATTGGGCTGTTACCTTCAAGGTTAGCAGTTCCAAACTCCAGTAAAGGGTCATAGTGGTCGGAACCCACAGGGACAGTTCGACTGTCCTCCAAAGTCCCTCTGGCGCAGAATGGACGCCATGGTGGTGAGCTGGGTTTAGAGCCGATGGGGATCATTACAGCCCTCCATGAGCCCTCAAAATCGATAAAGGCGCTGCTTCTCCTTGGATAGACTAGCCCTTATAAATGACAACACGGCACATGGCATTGGGCACACTGGGTTTCTACTTATGAGGCTCATGAACTATTAGAGAACGGAAAATGCATTTCCCTTGTCCTCGCTCGACGCGAGGAGGAAGGGGTCACAATAGGAATGAAGGCCCCGTGCAATCCACAATGGTCCCCGATCCTATAAACTATGAGTAGATGAGGCAAGTAGGTAAAAGCCTCAGGAAGCAGTTGGTAAACTAGAAAGTAAGAGCACGTAGTTCCTAGCGGGGAGATTCATTGCTCACTCCCCTGAGAGCCTTTATTGTGGACTTAGCTACTCTGTAGATAACAAAATGAAAGTCCTAATTTAGTTTCATATTTGAAATGACACCTTTCATGAAGGGGCATCTCGGGACATTTAAAGTATCGATTAAAGAAAGTAACAGAAATTAAATATATAATTAAATCTGTAAAATAAAGAGACTAGTATATAAAGTTAATTAAATGCCAATTGAAAAGTCTCTTTTTCTTGGGATGTTATCCAATCAAGGAAAAAGAGGAATGACGTACAGCTATGGGATGGCTGAGAGAGGGAAGAGAGGAGCGAGTGAGAAGTAAGGGGGAAAGGCGGATGGAGGGTGCAGAGAGAACAGAGAATGGGGAGAGAAGGCGGAGGGCGAGTGAGTACAAAGAGAAGCGAAGCCAGGGGACAGGAGGTGGTGCCTGGAGAGGGTGTGTGTGTGGCAGAGGAGGGGTGGGATGAGAGGGGGATGGGGCGGATGAGAGAGGGAGGGGGAGAAAAGTCTTTTGCTTCATGGGTTCACTTCAATGACTATACAGGTTGTGAATAAATGAATCTTTATGCCAGAATATTGAATGCAAAATCACAAATACTTCACTTAAGATCAGAGAAAAATTAGAAGCTATCATTAATTTGATTGCTTTTTCTGGGCCTTAAGGATATGAAAAAGTCCGGCCAATTTATCTTCTTTTATTTTAAAAAAGGATAAAATATGTGCTGAGATTTTCAAAATTAAATCACTCAGTGTTGGGAACACACATAGCAGGAATCAAAACTGAAATGCAAACCATCACAATCAGAGAATTAGCTTAGTCTAGCTCACGGCTGGAAATAATTCAAGTTAGTGCTTGGGGAATAGTCACAGGGGAGTGGACAATGTTATAAGATAATAAAATGGCGCCACAGCTAATATTTCTAGGGGCATGTTGCCTAATTGCTTAGTTCTGGGCCACGGCATCAAGTATTTGTATTAGTGAAAACCGAGGAAATCGTTGCTCATGAAGTCAAGGCTCAGTTATACTTTATCATGGAGGAAAGCATCAGGAGAGAGAAGACCAATATTCAATGTAGACTTCATTTTAATAAATTCAAATATTTCTATTGTTTGCTCCGACACCTGCTTACCCCTCCCCACCATCCCATCCCTCTTCTGTGAGAGGAGAGCTCCTGGACAAGCAGGTGAGTTTTAGTATGCAGAGAAATCAAGCTGGAGAATACAGAAAATGCACAAGTACACAGCACAAAGTGGACATCTGTCTTTTAAAAAGTTAAGTGTAGTTTAACTAGGGACTTTTATTTGGGATGGCACCGAGCAGCTCTTATGCAACTGATTCATCTCAAAACCGATTGCTGGATAGGCTCCCTTGAATACATTTGAATTCATTTAATGTATCACTCTCGATAGCATAAAACACTGCTATCACGAAGAGACACGGCTTTAAATCAGTGGGACTAATTCCAAATTCTGTAGTTCAGCACCAACTTTGGTCCTTTGCAGCCAAATAAAGCGTTATTGCCAAAATTGTTTTGCACTTTGGTGTATTCTAAACTGGGTTCGCAAAATCAGCTACCGAGAAGATTGGAACGAAGGTTTCGGGAGAAGTTTTAGGGTTCCCTGGCTTGAAAATCATTAAAATGCAATCTCTTTAGCAAGCAGTAAAGGATCTGAGAAGGAGCCGTGTGGTGCGGTCAGCAGGCCCTGGGCTGCCCATGGAAATGCCCCGTTTGCACCCACCAGTGTCTGAATCATTGACAGAGGAGGCCGTTAGCTTTTACAAAAGCTCACACCTCAGAGACCCTCAAGAGTGGCTCTCTTGGTCCCGCGGGGTTTCCGGGAGTCACGGTTGACTCAATGGCAGTTTATTATTATTATTTCAATGATCTGAGTAAAGTGTTTTTTAACATCGATGAGTGTGTGTTTGTAGAAAAAGAAAGGGTATAAATCTTGAAAAGAAGGTTCAAAGTATATCTATAATCACATGTTTATAAAAGGACATCTTAGAATAGTTACCTCTTTGAGTTCTCCTTCAGTATTAAGATATTCTGTAACTCCACTAATGAGCTTGGAATTCATAAATAATGCTTCTCCATACCTCAAAATAGAAAAAAATCATATTAATATAGGCAGCAGTTTAAGGAAGTTTAGTATAAAGGTATTTTCGGGTTATTCTCAAGGGTAATATTGCCCAACGTTGAACAATATTACCTCGACTGCCGTTAAAAAGTCTTGCGTGTCCAAGCTATTTGCCTAAGGAGATTCCCTACTTCCCTAAGGAGTCCTACTGGTGGAGTAGGATTCACAATGGGCTGCTAATGGCAAGATCAACAGTTTGAAACCACCAGCTTCTCTGGGGCAGAAAGATGATGCTTTCAGCTCTCATAAATATTTGTAGCTTGGAAGCCCACCGAGGCACTTCTATTCTGTCCTATAGGATTTCCAGGAGTCAAAATCAACTCGATGGCGAGAAAGGAGAGCATTGTGTTATGGGATACCTTCAGATCCATGGGCTTTGGCTCAATGTTTTCTGGTACATGATATAAAATATCTATATGTTAAACTACTGAACAAAATGGCAGTACAAACCTACACAGAGATGCCTCCAAAGACTAGCAATTCACTTCTGCAAGGTCACAGTCTTGAACACCTATGGGGCAGATCTATTCTGGACATAGAATTGATTTGACGGGCAACTGAAAACAATTAGCTGTAGTAAATGGGCAAGGTCAGCAGTTCAAACCCATTACTAGGAGAAAGAGGAGGCTTTCTGCTCCACAAAAATTTTGCACAGCAGCAACCAGGAAGAGCTGTTCTATTCTATCCATCCGGTGGAGCAGGGACGCTGAGGAAACTTCAAAGGATCCCTGGTATCACAGAGGTTGGTTCTCTGCTACTGAGCAAAAGATGAGGGTTGGAACCCATCTGCCTCTTCATAGGAGAACGGTGTGGCAATCTGCTTCTATAACATCTGAACGAACTCTAAGACGGGCTCTGCAGGGTCCCTATGAGTCAACATTAACTCCATAGCAATGAGTTTTGTGTTTATTACACTTATAACCCAGAAAGTATTGGACTGCTAACTATAAGGTTATCAGTTCAAAGCCACCAGCCACTCCAACAGAGAACATTGAGACTATCTGCTCTCACAAGTCTCCGAAACCCTCTAGAACAACAGGGAACAATAAATCTTAATAAAATTAATGGCAGTGGGTACTTTTAATCCAAGATTTTGGGAAAAGATATTTAAGTACTTTCAGCTTTAAAGTCATCAGGTTTATTTGCTATAATGTAAAATAACCTCAGCAAAAGAAAGAAGGCAGCAGACCACTTTGACATTTTATCAGGAGGTCACACAGTCATGGCTGTAGGACTTTGGTTTGATCAAATATAACTGACATTGCCATTGCCATTTTTTTCACTCTTAAGAACTGAACCAAATTTCTCAGCAATGCTGCTAAAATGATAGCATTTTCTCATGTGGATATTAAAGTAAAATATCTAGTTATTGTTTTGGTTTATATAAGGTATAGCAAGAATAATGATTTGACTCATGACGCAAGGAACAGGGCAATTTTTGATGTTAAGCTGGACAAAAATCTTATTTTACTGATTTACCTCTACCGTTCTTAAGGATATCCAAAACCAACATGGATACTTTTAAAATGAAGGTAAATAAATAAAAACTAAGACCAAATATTGAGGAACAGTGGTCAGGTGACTGTGTATAAGGTTTCTAATGCTGCCTTTAAGCGCGGCGCCTAAAATAATTTAACTTTGGAAGACGCAGTTTTCATCTGTTAAGTAAGGAGGCTGATGTAGATCACCACCTGATCTGAATGTCATAAATTCTAACGAGTCCACGAATAAAGTGTTAGCTAAGTAAAGGTCAGCAAATAAGAAATTATAGATATAACAGAAAGAATCACCGTGGCTACAGATGTGATCTATTGTAAAATAATAAAAATCCTTCTTTCTCTAACGGAGCAGTAATAGTTACTGTGTCACACATGGGGGTATTATTATTATGATTATGAGGGTAACTGGAAATTGGGAAAAGAAGTATGATGATGATAGCATTACAATCGGTGTTCAAATAAGGCCTCTTTAGCTGAGACCTCGGAGGATGCTTCTAGGAAATGAAGGAATTGGGATCAACAATGGAGTGAATCTGTGTAGCAGGGACAACAACACAAATAAAGCAAGGGGTATGGCAGGCAGGAGTATATAATTATGAAGTTGGGAAGAGCAGAAGAGGCCAAGAGGGTGGTCAGGGGAGCTCTTTAAGGAGCTTGCATTTCAGGTGTGACACAAAACCAGTGAAGGTAAACATCACATTTACCTTTTAGGGCACTGCTTAGGAAAGGGGACAAAGGGTGGCATGTGTGTGTAGGATTGACTATTGAGATAGAGTGAGATAGAGTATGAACACGGGAAAGAAATAAGAACCTGCAGTAGGGCAAATGTAGCAAGAAACAGAAGGAAGAAGCCAAGAAACAATTAAGGCTTATTCAGATGAAAAGCGCTCAAGTGGACTTGGGAATACAGTATAGGGCAAAGGCGAGGAGATTTCAATGGAGACATCCAGCTATTGTGCTTGAGCAATTCGTGGATAGCTTTAGGAGTCACTGCATAATACAGGGAAACAGGAGGGAAATAATGAGGTTAGTTTTCTAGGCATATGCCCAAGGAGGCCTGCAACAGGAGCTTGATATAAAGAAAAAGTTAGGGGAAATATATGATAGAGATTAATATTTGAGAATGATTAAAACCATAATGACAGTTGGCAACAAAAATTAGAGATTCAGATTATATCCCCTTTATATGCTATCTTTAATTTTCACTGCCAACTGTTATTTATAAATATATATACATTTATAATATACTTATAAATTCATAATAAATAGTACAGATATTATAAACATATAATGTTATAAATATACATTTAGAAATATATAAAGTATATATTGTTTATACATAAACACACTTGAAAAGAATGAGAATTACAGAACACTTTAACTGTGCTCTTTTAGAACCTGAGCAGAACAAGGGAATAAAGGCTGCTTTCAAAATCAAGAAAAGTACGGACCAGGAGTGTTTCCTTTCACCACACTCCTTCAGTCTGCACACTGAGCACATCCTCAGAGAAGCTGGATTAACTGAAGAAGATGTGGCGTCAGGCTAACAACTTCGGATATGAAGGTGACACAACATAGCTTGAAGTACTTGCTGATGAAGCTCAAAGTTTTCACCCTTCAGTACGGAACGCAGCTCAATATTAAGAAGATCATAATACTCACAACAGGACCAACTAATACTGTCCTGATAAATGGGGAAAAGACTGAAGTCGACAAAGATTTTGTCCTCCTTGGATACACAATCAAGCTCATGGAAGCAGCAGTCAAGAGATCAAATGACACACTGCATTGAGTAAATCTACTGCAAGATCTCTTTCAAGAACTTAAAAGCAAGCATGTTACTTTATAGACTAAGGTGTACGTGATCTAAGCCATGATGTTGTCAATGGCCTCCTATGTATGGGAGAGTTGGCTATTGTCTAAGGAAAATGAACCAAGAATCCATGCAGTCGAATTATGGTGCTGGTGAGGAATACTGAAAGAAGCATGGACTGCCAAAGAACGAACAAATGTCTCGTGGATGAACTACACCCTGAATGCTCCTTAGACGCGAAGAATGGCAAGACTTTATTTCTCATATTTGGGCATGTTATGAGGAAGCGCAGTCCTGGAAAAGGATATCCTGTTGGTAAAATCGAGAAGCAGCAGAAAGGAGGAAGACCCTCAGGAAAATGGATGGAGATGGTGGCTGCACCTGTGAGCTCAGACACGGACAGGTGTGAGGATGGAACAGGACTGGGTGGTTTCCATTGTCCTGCGCAGAGGGTGGCTCGGACTTGATGGCACCTAGCAATCACAACACATAGAAGAGAAAACAGACTGGTCCGACATCTCAGGATCGACAGAGGATTAGAGTGGATGAAGATCATCCTGTCTGTCAAAGGAAGCTCTACCATATTTGAAGATCTACTGAAACTTCAATCTCTTTGTCTTTGAATCAATTTTAGTGAAGTAGAATAGGCTTGAAAGGAACTGAACATTTTGGGTTAAAATGAAGTTATATATGCATTTTAGTGCACTTCAAAAGTGCTCTCTAAAGAAACTTGTGGATAGGGTAACAATATACTTTAAAAGAAAATGCTTACATAAATTAATTTTACACTAAATATCTGACAATCCAATCTAATACTTGCAAGACAACAAAGTAAAACACGAAGCTTCCAACCATTCCAAATTATGAACTTAAAAAAAAAGAGCCAATGTGTCTTTTACGGATATCAATGATTTCTAACAATGAGCCACCTGTACTTAAAAGTATGTTTCAATGTGAGAAATTCATCCAGATATAATTCCTGATAGCAGGAGCTAATAGGTGTACTTAAAAGTAATAAAGTCAATATACCAATTTTTAAGAGGAAGAACAGTTAGGCACACTTACTGTCTAGGGATACTTAAGAACATGTAACATTTACATGCTCTATAATAAAGTTTAATTTTAAGATACCACAGAGATTATCAGAGTAATAAATTAACATTTATTTTAATGTATTTAAATACTTAATGGAATTTTTTTGAAATTGAAGTTGAAGAAATTTAACCATGAACCAAGATGTCCTGGGAATGAATTCTAATGGAATTAGAATCTTACCATGATTCAAACTGATTCAATGTACTTTTTATGTGTTATGGTCTTATTTCAGGTATTTTGTAGAAATTGTAAGGGCATTAAACTATTCTATAAATGTATTTAACATTTGTCTTGTTATGATGTCATATTTGGCTTATACTTTTGTTATATAAATGTTAAGGACATAGTAGTTTTATGTTGTGAATTCTTGGACTCTTGGACACATTGATAGGTTTTCAGGCAAGTTGTTGCATTAAACCTTTTGCATTTCCCAACCTCTACATATACAATTAATTATTAAGGCTACCCATATTTAATAAATGAGTAATTTAATAGACTTAATAAAAGAATTTTGGATTTTATATAAATAATAGCAACGCTTAATTGACATTTTAGTTGACTATAAATATATGAACAATACTTCTATTCTTGGATCTTGGATCTCAACTATATATAACACAAAAGTTTGGGACTTTATCACTAACTACCTTTAGTTTACTTAAGTAGGTAGGAATAATTGAATTCATTTTTACCTGGTATTTAGTATCTTCCATTTATCTCTAAAAAATTTCCAGGCAAGGTCTCGGCCATGTGGATTTCTAGCAACATGAATTATGACATCTATTGCATCTTGATCCAGGACAACGTCAGAATTCAAGGACAGATTCAGAAGCCTTTAAGAGTGGAATTGTGGGGAGATTGTTAGTTCAATGAATAAATATTTTTATAATATTCCTAATAAATACATAATTTAGTTTGCCATGTTCTTCAAAATAAATGTTCACTGACAACTTTATTAATATAAAGTTATCAGTGGAACAAATGTTTGCTTATAAGGGAATGGTCAAGCTCGTAGTTCAAATAAATGTATTAACTAAACTGAAAATATCTAGGAGATGGAGAACTCACCATTCTCATTTGATGATGAAGTTCTCACTTTTAATCATTTTTTAATAGTAAACATTTCTTTTTATAATGAAGTATGTTCATAGAAATTTACCTAAACATCGTAGTCTTTATCAAAAGTGCATCCATCACTTGAATGAAGTCACTTTCGATATCCTAAGGTTTTAATTTTTTTTCTATGATACAGGGAGATACATTTTAGGGTAACTAACACTTAATCAAGGAAATGAAACATTTTTTCTATGCATTTGGAAACCATATTTCAGAGTAAGCAGCTGTGATGCTCCTCTGCATCTAAGCTGCCCTTTCCAACTACTCAAGCTGATCAACGGGGTCCTGCAACAATGGCTTAGTCTCTTGTTTCAACAGAAGCTTTCCCAGCATGTATACTTAAAGACTTTTTCAAAAGAAACAACTCTCAAGAGGACCCCATCTTCTTACACGCCCACTCTTACAGCTATTTGAATACTGAACCCTGATTGCGCATATAAACCACGTCTCTAAGATGTGTGGCATTGAAGTGATCCAGAAAGCATGCTTTATTGAAGCTGTTAAAAAGTACTTTAAGAAGGGCAAGGCCAGAGTCTACGTTCCATTAACATGGATCCTTTAATCGGTTATCTATGAGTTCACTTGCCCTACGTGACAAAAGTGCACTAAATACTCCATGCTATTATTTACTCAACATTTTTTCTTTGATGGCATAAAAAAAAAGGTGGGGTCAAATATTGGTGATAGAGCATAACCCATATCTATGTAAGGAACATCGATGAAAGATACGTGGCCTCATTGTCTTCTCAGAGGCACTACAGTAGTTTATCTCTTGTTGCTAGTAAGTTGTACTTTTATGAGCTGTGGGAAATTAATCTTTTAAATTTGTTTTCTCATCATAAAATGCATTTTGTTGGATTATTTTAAAAATAAAATGCCAAGCGCCTAAAGCAATACCTGGCATAGAGCAGACATCAATGATATTTTAAGGCGCACCACGAGTGCAGGGGGTAAGCACGGAATGGCTAGCCACAAGTTTGTCGGTTCACATCACCAGCAGCTGAAGCCACGCTTGTCAACTCCTGTAAAAGGTATAGTCTTCGAAACCCCAAAGAGCAGTTCTGTTCTGATCTGGAGATTTGCCATGTGTCAGAATCAACTAGCTGGCAGTGGCATATAGTGCCTGCCAACGAGTCAATTCTGACTCATAGCGACTCTCTAGGGCACAACAGAACTGTCCCTGTGGGTTTCTGAGAAATGTCATTTTACAGGCGTAGAAAGCCTTGTCCTTCTCTCTCCGAGCGGCTGGTGACCTTGTGGTTAGCAGCCCAATGATTAACCACTCTGCCACCAGGCTCCTTGATTAGCACAGAGTCAAAGACAAAAAAAACCACCCCAGAGACACTGAATTTCTTTACACATTGACAAGTTGATAAGAGAATTGGTGGACCTACCTATTTAATAAATTCCTGTCATCACTACAAGTTAAAGCTTCCAACAGTATTTTCTTCTCAGAAACTGCTGTGGTAGAGTGGAATTTCATCCAGATGAATTCCCAGACATCTTCATCCAATAAAGAAACTCCTGTACAGTAGACGATGTCTCGAACATTTAAAGGAATTCTAAGGAGGCAACCCATGGTAGTTTTCTGTTAATGAAAAGCTGCCAAGTATTGACCATACTAACAGATCCTGTATTACTTTAATGATAAAAAAGATTGTATTAATTAGATTTTATCTGAAAGGGAAGAATACATAGAAATATTATTAAATGTCTAGGGAAAATAATTTTTAATTCATTTTATTTAAAGTGGCATTAAATCCAATTAATAGTTCTATTCTTGAAATTCTGCCTAAATAAAATTAGTAACACCATTTTCAAATTTTAATAAAATGCTTTACATTAATATACTTATTATCCCAAAATTTTGCTATTATATCTGCAGACATAGAGAATGACAAGAAAACACTGGTTAAAGACAAATTAATTTGGCATATATACAAAAAAAATTTTAGAGTCTTCTAAATTATTAGATAATTTTCTCTAAATCTACTTTTCTAAACAACTCTCCACATTACAGTACCTAGGAATGTTGGTATGAATAATAAAATGTAAGCACAAATTAAAAGAATATATAAAATAGTTTCCTCAAGCTTTATTAAAATGATCCTATAACACGATATATATAACAAAGATTATACAAAATAGTGTGTGTGTATATATATATATATAAAGGTATATATGTACACATAGTATATTTCAACTTTGACTCCAAAATATGTTGTTTAGTACACACTCTTTTAGTAGAATTAATTATCACTGTCTATTAGTAAATTAGAAATGTTAAAATCTACTTTTCCATAAATAATTGTTCTACTAAATAGGATTACTTCAAATTTTTGGTATAAGTATCACCTTTAAAGACTGTTTAAATCATTTATATGGTAGGATATTCCAGTAAATTGTAAAAGTACACATACATTTCTTATTCTGTAGTAATCACTAACCTATTATGAGAACTGTTCACCAATTGTTTGAATGTCACCCATAACAGCCAAGTATTCCCTTTGGATAACAAAATGACGCAATACTTTCTGAAAGCTGTAGTAGAACCTGGATGGCTAAACATGAAAACGATAAAATGAAGCCTCCCTGGTGGGATAAGTTTAGGGCTGCGAACCATAAGTCTCAAAGCCACGAGCTATCTCTGAACCCAACATAGGGCTGCTACGGGTGAGAGTTGACCCCGTGGCAGTGACACTGGATGGTTAAAGGACTGTCTTCACGAAAGGAAAGAGTTCCTGCGTGATTACTAGTAAGAATTTCTTCATCGTGGTGTGCTCAACAGCTAAGAAGGGCTAAAATCAGGGTATGGCAACATTGTAAGAAGTATCATAAAAAAAATCATGGTTTCCAGAAGTAGCTAAAATGATACATTTATAATGATATATTTTGTAATAATAAAATTTAAAAAGTCATTTAACTCTTCCTGCAAGTAATTAAATTGTTTAGATAAAGTTACTCGACATTGCTGACTGATGCTTTCTTTCCTTAAGTTATTAAAGATAATCAATCTCGTTTTGTTTGTTTATTTATTGCTTTAAAGAAACCAAAAGAATAAAGGCTAAAAAAAAAAACAAATATCTTACTATCTTTCTTTTGGATTCCCTCTTAAGCCTGGATTGCTTTGTAGAAAGTCCCAGTTGCTTTCCTAATGGCGGTGATATATTCTTGTTCTGGCTTTGAATAGCTTGCCACACAGCAAACTGAAATCCTTAATGAACCACTGTTTCCATATTTTAATAAATGATATCAATTTTGATAGATACAAAATGAGATAATGGAGATGTCACCATCGTTACTAACTTCAATAGGAAAAGAAATACAGACGTCCTGTAAATCAAGTGCTATACACAAGCAAACAAAAAGCCCTTTTCTGCAAACATCACAAGCTACAGGTTGTTTTGTACAATCATACAAACACTGTGTGATTTCCATGACGCTGGTCAAGAGATTGACATGACAGTTCACAAGAAATAAAAATAAAGTATCTACTGAAATCATCCATTCATCAACCAATGCATGTTTTCTGAATATTCGATTGAATCGAACAGCTTTCTTCCTAGAAACAATCTGATCGGATGTCAATATAGAAAGGGGAAGTCAGCGGACAGTCAATCGGGTTAGTCCTCTTACTACTCACAGAATCAACCTGTAACCCAGTGATTTCAAGTAGCCAAACCCAAAGCACAGCTCCCTGCCATTGCATCAATTCTGACTCACAGCGGCTCCAAATAGGTTTCTGACTGAGCGAGGCTGTGAATCTTTATGGGAGTAGAAAGCGTTAGAGCAGCTAGTGGTGCTCAGGAATCGATGGTTTTGAACTACTGACCTTCCATTAGCAGTCCTTGTCCTACCAAGTAGAAAAGGTACATAGAAATACAGACATATCTTCTGTTACTGCACTTCATTCTTTTGTGTTTTACAGACTTTTAAAAAACATATATTGTGAGTTTGTGGCAAGCCTATATTGAGAAAGTCTATCAGCACAATTTTTTTTTTACCAGTGTTTGCTCACTTTGTGTCTGTCACATTTTTATACGTATCACCATATTTAAATTTTTTCAAAATGACATTGCACAGTTATGAGACTACAGTATAGTATAAACATATATTTTATATGTACCAAGAAACAAAACATATGGCTTTCTTTATTATAATATTAGCTTTATGGAGGTGGTCTGGAACTGAACCTGCAATAATGCTGAGGCAAGCCTGTACAGAACAGCCAAAAGAAAAGAAAAAAGCAGATGCTAAACTATGCTTCCTTAGAACATGTGTTCCACATACTTCACTGTGGTGGCTGGATTCCATCAAGTGGACACAGAGCAAGCCTACAGGACAGAGTCCAGAGGCCTCCAGGGCGCCCCCGGTTACCATCTTTATAAGAACAGACCTCCAGGTCTTCTTCCAAGAAGCCTCTGGTTGGTCTGAACTGCCAAGCAATAGCTATTAGACAAGTGCACAATCCTTACTATCAAAAGTGGGTCTTCTTGTTATTGGCTGATGTTACACTGTGTCAGACACCTTCTCAAACAAATACATAGTTTACCTCATCTAAATAATTATACTGTGGCTAAAGAAGCATTAGAAGTTGTGTTAGGCTAGCTAGAGAAACAAAATCATTGATCTTCATATAAATAGAAGAAAGAAGTGATTTTATATAAAGTAGGCACCCCCACCCAGCCCACCTCAAGCTCATGCGTTTGAAGCTGGCCAGAATCTTCTTTAGACGCATGTAGCTACAGGTGACTGAAGCAGAAATGGATAGCAGGAAGCTGGGATATCACCGGCTTGTGGGTTCAGAGTCACAGGGATCCAAGGTGGTTGGGAACATGGCAGGGTGCTGACAACCAGCCAGGTTGTCTCCCATGGTCAGAGGCCCACATGGAGCTGCCCCTGGAGGCAGACATGGAATCCCAGCAAGAAGGGAGGGTGAAAGGCCAGAGAGAGAGAGGTGTGTGTGTGTGTGTGGGGGGGGGGGGACCACACCCCTAATGAGGGATCACCAGGCCACCACCAAATTCACAGATTGGACTCCACACTTACCTTCATGCAAGTACCATCAAGTTAGCATAAAATCTAATCACCACAGAGATAGAATTTAAGAAATGTTTTCATAGTGCTGTTTTAAGGAAGTAACCCTGATGGTGCAGTGGTTAAAGTGCTTGGCTGCTAACTAAAGGTTGGCAGTTCAGTCCCACTAGTTGCTCTTTAGAGGATAGACATGACAGCTTGCTTCCATAGGTATTTTCAGCATTGGAAACCCTATGGGGAAACTCGATCCTGTCCAATAAGGCTACTATGAGTCAGACTTGACCTTACAGCCACTGGATTTATTTTGTTTATTTGTTTCATATTCTAGTTAAGAAGTCCTGGTAGTGTAATGTTAAGCATTGGGCTGCTAAACAAAAAGATGGTTGCTTTAAACCACCTAGAAATTCCATAGCAAAAGAATTGACAATCTGCTCCTGCAAAGGGTATAGTCAAGAAAACCCTATGGAGAAGTTCTGCCCTGTCATACATGGGGTCAATATGAGTCAGAACTGATTTAACAACAGCCCTAGCAGCATCTTGTTTATGCGTTGCACTGCTACCTCCAAGGGCACCAGTTCAAAGCCACCAGCCTTTCTGCCAAAGAAAAACAGGGCATTCTGCTCGCGCAAAGAATTGAAATCTCAGAAACTCACAGGGGCACCTCTACCCTGTCTACCCTGTCCTATAGAGTCACTATGATTGGAATCAATTGGGTGGCAGTAAGAGTGAAAGCTACAAGAGAGGTGCTTTGGTAGCATAGTGGGTATGAGCTTGGCTTCTCACTGCAAGGTCAGCAGTGTGAAACTACCATCTGCGCCTCAGGAGAAAGAGTAGACTCTTGGAAAGATTTCCAGTTTCAGAAACTGTAGGGTCAGTTCTACCCTGCCCCATAAGATTGCAATGAATCAGAATTGACTTGATGACAATCAGGTTGGCATTTGCTGAGCTACAAAAATGCTTTAGTCGCATGCTTTATTAACTTCTACAATAATACTACTCTCATGATATCTGTACTAACATTTTTCAGGAAACCAACTCTCTTATTAACAAGGACGTATTACACTATAATGCTATAATAAGTTAAGAAAAATAAAATATTTTCCATTTTATTTAGTTTAGAGATGGCTATAGACCATGAATATAAATATACTGATTTCTATTAATAGTAATAATTTGCTATGAGCCATTAACTTCTGCTGTTTGTTTTCCAATTAAATACTTGCTTGCAAGTAAAAACAATAACATGTTTTAAATAAAACACACGACACCCTTTAAGAGGGCACTGTTTCCAAGCCCAGGCCTCACTCGCCGTGGGGAGCAGAGTAATTCCAGTGCAGTCAACCTATCAGGTCCGGGGGGTTGAACTTGTCACAGATGTCACCTCTCACCTGCTTTGTGGTAACTTTTCTTTTCCCCACCCGTAGTGTAATCAATTATCTGTGAGCAATACTCAGTCTTGGCGAGACAGGATTTTCAACAATAAAAATCCATTCTGCTCACCAGCATTCAAGGGATACTTGTTAAA